GAAGAATCCATCTTAAAAGGAGTTGATACTAGCTATTTCCTAGCTCAATTAACAAAGTTCTAAGAGCTCCTATGGCTTTTTAGATCTTTTATAAATATTTAAATATAGAATGAACATGCAGGAAAGATTTTTCACTCTCATGGAATTTACCCTCCAGTAGAGAATACAGATAATAAACAAACAATTCACTGAATTATTTCAGGTGAGACTATGAAAAAAATAAAACAGAATAAGGTCACAGAGTGCTTAGGGTTTGGGGGGGTTTTTTTGTACTGGGAATTTTAACCCAAGGACACTTAACCATTGAGCCATATCCCCAGCCCTTTTTTATATTTTTTATTTAGAGACAGGGTCTCACTGATAGGGCCTTAGTAGGTCCTCGATAAGTTGCTGAGGCTGGCTTTGAACTCACTATCCTCCTGCCTTAGCCTCCAGAGCCAATGGGAACACAGGTGTGCATCATTACACATGACGCATACGGTATTCTTACTTCCCTATTTCTAATATCAGTACCACCATTCACCCAGACTCAATACACTTTAGCATTAACTTCCTCTTTTCTATTCCTAATGCCACTGTTTTTAAAAAGATCTTTTTAAAGATCTTTGACCTTGTATCTTTTTAAAGATCTTTTTTAAGATCTAAAACTGGTCTGATTCAAGCGGTACTACCCTGCTGCCAGAGACTTTCTATAGAACTGGGAACAAACTCCTCAATCACTCTGGCATACAAAGCCCTCCTTAAAGGAGTTCAAACCCTCATTTCTAATCTTTTGGCACACCTTCTGATACATGGCCTATAGGTGAGCCAAACCAACCTGCTAGTCATCTAACATACTTGAAACTTTTTCATGCCTGTGCCTTCATTCCTGCTTCACCTTGAACATACATTCTCTGTGCTCTTCAAGTACCAAAATCCAGCCCTCCTTCAAAGCTCAAGTTAAATGTCACCTCTTTCATTAAACTCATCTTGCTATCCTCATCTAAATGTCATCTCTTCCACCTCTAAAACTCCCAGGAAATACTATATGATTTTCTTAAAGCTCTTACCACATGTGACCTTGTATCTGAGTATTTTGTATATCATATCTCACATTTGGATTTGCCATATGTTCTTTGAAAGCATAAACTATAATATTAATCTTTTCATTTCAAATAGAAACTACCACAAGACCATGCATTCATTAAATGCCTCATAATATATTTGTAAATTTTAAGACTATTTACCAGAGTAGATCCTACTGTTATTAAGGATACAAACACAGAATCTGCTTTGAGTTTCTAGCATATTGATATGTAAGGAGGCCACATCAGCACAAGAGCCTCTAAAAATAAATCTAACCTAAGAGACAAGAAACTATTGACCAAAGAAATATAGTAGAATCACACAAATATATACATCAAACTCACTTCATTTTCCTGGGCAAGTCTTAAAATTTCATCAAGTGTGACAAATGTATCATTTCCTCTGACTGCATCTTTCTCCATAAATCCAAGGTGAATATCAGTTGCAACTAAGATTTTAAATGTATTTTCATCATCACTGTATTAAAAAATAAATATCATTTCAATATAATGCATTAAAAGGATATTCAAGTAAGTTAAGACGTAAGCATAAAATAAATAACAGCAGTTAGGAGTAAAGTCATTTTTCTACTGTTAACCTTGTTCTGAAAATCTGAAGTACTCAACATCACATAATTTTTCTAACCACTAATTCAATACATAACAAATTTGTACATAAGTTTTAAAAGGTTCTGTAACTGCTTCAAAAATTTATAATCCTGTTATAATAAACCTAAAGGCCTGCTTGTTTTCCTATTCTGTCCCAGCACAAAAACCCAAAGGGCTTTGATCTTGATTACAAGATTTGGTTATTTGATTTTACAATCTAGGAAAATCAAGTTTAAAAAGTCTTCCTCTAAGTTTGTAAGTAGATTTTATACTATTGTGCTAGCAACTTACATTCAGGGTCCTGGAAACACCTGCTTGACTGTACTTTCAATAAAAAGCTAATTTTTCATTAATAAATTTTACCAAGTAAGAAAAGAAATTTCAATTCAAATAAAATCTGGCAGAGGCAATTTCATGTGAAGCAGCACTGGAATAGCAATTAACATTCTCTTAAACAATGTAAATTTTAATTTTCTAAATACTTTTATATCTATGAACTCATCATAACTCCTAGTCAATAAAGAGGTAGGCATTATTATACCTGAAAAATGAAAAGTCTAGACACTGAAAAATTGATTTATCACTCAACTAATTTCAGAAACAGGACTAAAAGCCACATGAAAACTCAGGTTATTTTTACTAAACTATAATCTTTAAAATCTTTTTTTTTTTTTAGAGAGAGAGGAGAGAGAATTTTTTTAATATTTATTTTTCAGTTTTTGGTGGACACAACATCTTTATTTTTATTTTTATGTGGTGCTGAGGATCGAACCCAGCACCCCGTGCATGCCAGGCGAGCTCGTTACCGCCTGAGCCACATCCCCAGCCCCAAAATCTTTTTTTTATTATTTTTTAAATTGTAGATAGACATAATGCTTTTATTTTATTTTTATGTGGTGCTGAGGATCAAACCCAGTGCCTAACACATGTTAGGCAAGCACTCTACCACTGAGCTCAACCCCAGCACCTTTAAATCTTTTTATACAAAATTATTATTTTTTTTTAATTTTTTTTTTTTTAGTTTTCGGCGGACACAACATCTTTGTATGTGGTGCTGAGGATCGAACCCAGGCCGCACGCATGCCAGGCGAGCGCGCTACCGCTTGAGCCACATCCCCAGCCCTTTTTATACAAAATTAAAATATTAATATATGAAAAGCATTTCCAGAAATATTTCTCTTTAGTAACTTCAAAAATGATATGTACAAAGTTCTGATTACTGTATACAAGCTTTTCAGATCACATTACTACATCCTTCCACAGCAATGTATAAAGTATTTTCACATGATTTCTCTCATTTAAATCTCAAAATTAATCTGAGAAAGGCATGATTATTCCAATTATACAAATTAAGAAATTGAGGCTAGGCTCAGAGAACTGCTGAATTTCCAAGGTCATATATCTAATTTTCACCAATGTCTTAAAACTACAATGAAAGACTCAAAGTCTAAGGCTTTTTCCACCTAACATTTTTAGGCCTTTTATTTATTTAGATTTTATCCAAATTCATTTTCAATATATTTGATACTACATTAATTTACTCTAAAAATCTGCTTAAACAGAACTTCATGAATAAAACTTTATCATGAAAATTCAAGGCTATCTATAGCTTCAATATTTTAATAAAGTCTAAGAACATAACCTTACTACAGCAACATAACAAATTACTCCAAGACTCCAATCTATAGCTTCACAGTCTTAATAAACATATAGAATGGATTTTTAAACATTGAAAATATTCTTTTTGATGATTAACACTTCTATTCACAGGCAAGTTCTTTATTTACTGGTAATTTTTTTTTGGTTGGGGGTACTGGGGATTTAACTCAGGGTGACTGGACCACTGAGCCACATCCCCAAGCCTATTTTGTATCTTATTTCGAGACAAGGTCTCACTTAGTAGCTTAGCACCTTGCTTTTGCTGAGGCTAGCTTTGAACTCGTGATCTTCCTGCCTCAACCTCCTAAGCCTCTAGTATTATAGGCCGGCACCACCATGCCCAGGTAATTTATTTTTTTAAGGTGATCATAGTTAATAATCATTGTAAACTCAAAGTAACCAAAGGATTCTATAAGCCAAGATGGGCTTACAGTGCATCAGCAGTACTCATTTTTATGGTCAGTAGGGCTCCACAAGGGCAAGATTTCTCTCCAAGAACTCCTAGGTCCTGTGTTCAAATGTGTCAATCGTTTCCAAATTCTAAAAACAAATATCAAAAACATATTTGTTAAAAGGTTGCACTTATTTAACCATTTTCAGTTAGGCTGCATAGGTACAGACTTCTTAAATAATCAGACTGGCAATTCTGAAAGTCTCATTTTCATCTAAGCGCTTACTATTATTTTTTAATGAGTTTATAATAGACAATAACGAGTCTTCAGTGCCACTTTAATATCACTGTTATGGTTAACATATCAGTGTTTCTTTTCCCTTGCTCTTATGGAAAATTAATGCATATTAATAAATGTACAGTAAGGGTCACGTAAGATTCTAGCACAGCACACAATTCTGGGTGTTAAATTGTATGCATAGGATTTTCTGGAGTATGGCGGCAACCCCATATTTCCTGGCCCAAAACAACGTTTTTAAAAGACCGGGATTGTTTTTATAAGAGAGGGACCCCATGTTTAAAGCTAGAAAAAAATAAATCAAACACGTAGAGAAACACCTTTGAGAGCCTGCAGGACAACTTTTAAGTAGTCAGACTTGGGAAGGAAAAGCTGTCACCGGCTTACACGTCCGGTGTTCCAGGTTGCATTGGGATTCCAAGAGTCACCAAGCTCTATTCGCGGTGGGACTCCAGAGCCATGAGCTCTCCACGCCCCTCCCCAGCCGACTTCGCGGCCCACGCTCGCCAGAGCGTCCCATTCACTCTGGGCTTCCGCCTCGGAACCTAGAAAGCTAGGAGATGGATACGATGCCTAAATTACCCCACACCTGGATTCTTCAAAGCCCCACCTTCGGGACCAAGACTGTCTTCTATCCAGGAAAAAGGGGCGGAATTCGTGAGTAGAAAAGCAAGCAGTCTGCCCGGGAAACACGAAGGGTCATAAACCAGAATTAGGCGCGAGAGAACCGCATCTGTGTTTCTCGCGATATCTCGTTAATGACGTAGGTTTCTCAAGTCCTCTTCGAGTTTCATTGGCTGCGGAATGTCGAGAGCGGGTAAGGAAACTAGCGGTAAGGCCCCGCCCCCGTACGGGAGCCAATCCTGAGCAGCCCAGGGGACAAACCCGGAAGCAAGATTCGCAGCGGCGACTTTCCTCTGTAAGGTGGGTGATTCCTCCCGGTCCCGGACCAGGTTTCCAGGTGGAGTAGCAGTTAAGAACTACTGGGTCCAAAGGGGTGGTCACCTTAGGCCCTGACCGAGCCCTGGAGGTCAGGCCATTTGGCGGGTCCTAGGTAACATCGTGGTGGCTTGTTCGATTTTGGCTGTTTGGAAGGCCGCGGGCCTGCGAGGGACTAGCCGGTGGCAGAGTCAGGTCTGGCGGGCGTCTTTCCTCCGCCCCGCCCGCCTCACTACACCCTCTAGTTCTCAGACTTTATTCCCTGCTCCCCGTTGTCGCCCGTGAATCCCTGGCTTCAGCACATCTGTACTGCGTTTTTCTGAGAACAAAATATAGTGCAGTAAAAGTAATGTGGAACTTTTTAATTTGAAGATCGGGCTTTCAGCTCCACAGAAGGGTCCTTGATCTGAATTTGACAGGTTGTTTTAATCTGTCACTGAATTTGTCACCCTATTACTTCCTAATCGGATATCATCGAGTAAGAATCTTGATCATTTTATTTTAAACCCTGAACGAAGAAGATGCATCTGGGTTTGACTTTTTAAATTAAATATACCAAGGAAGTTTTGTATGTGATTTATTTTATCTAGAACTTAAAAAGTTCAGAATTTATATGAAGGACTATGGAAAAAGAAAGACTTCTTGTGGGAAGTCAGTGAGATTTGTGCTAAAATATTATTATATCTGATATAAATACAAGCGATCCATACTTTATGTAGGTTCCATACTTTATGTAGGTATTTGTTACCTGTTTAATGAATTGTTATATGATCACTTTTGTGTTGCGAGGTTCAGAAAATAGCTTGAGAATAAAGAAAAAAGTGGAAACTCCAAGGGAACTAATATAACACGAAGTAAGTCCGATGAGGTCACTCAATAGACTCCAAAAAGTTGGATGGACCTTAGAAATTCTTTGTACAATCCTTACATTTTACAATGAAATTACATGCCTAGAGAAGTTACTGGTCATAAGTGATAGATTTAAGCTTGAGTTTCATGATCCTGCCCCTAGTAAACAATATTTAATACCACAGTAGATTTGTATATTCTTAAATTTGTGGAATTTAGTAGAACAAAATTAGTATCTTAGGTGTATGACTAATTCTGGATCTTCTCAGAATCTATTCTAGGCAGAATCAAATGACAGGGCTTTAATTAAATTTAATACTATTGCTATTTCTCAATACTTGCTGTATAGAAGTGGAATTTAAATGTTAGTTAAACAAAGTCCTTAACCTTAAGTTCATGATCTTTAAGCATCAGAAACAAAGTTCATGGTAAAACAAGACAAAATATAGCACCAAAAAGAACAAAGGAGAAAGATCTAATTGGGAGGATCAAGAAAGAATGAAAGGGAGAACATTCTGAGAATAGTCTTGAAAGATTTGTTAAGATTTCAAAAAGTGCAGTTTGGAGACTGATAAATTATATTTTTAAAATAACATTTTCATTTTCTTAATTTTGATTAAGGCTTATGTGCTGTGTAACTCTTTAAGCTGATATTAATTTGTAAATTAATATTGCAGCTAAGCAGAATAAACATCTGCCGGAAGCTTTCTTCCATCTCCAGGAATGGGTGAATTATGACCCTCCTGTATACTCAAGGTATCTAGATAGGGTTCATATTATCTTTGCAATCACCTGCACTGGACAGGAATCTTCTTGAGGTAAAGACATGGATCTTGTTCATTATTGAATCCCAGTTCCTAAAAATTCATATTTTTTGAGTGAAGGAGTAAATGACAACCAAAATTCAGTTCAGAAACAAGGAGCCAACTAAGAACTATAGTTTTCTGTCAGCAAATAGGACTACTTTTTGAAGCAATGAGTTTTCCTAGGCCTGAAATTATTAAAGTAGAAATAGGATAATTATTACAAGTATAGTGATAAAATTATCTGTACCAGTGAGAGATTTGGGAAAGATATCATTTGGGGCCTATTTTGTCAAAGAATTTTTTCAAATTGTCTCTTAGAAACTAGAAATTTTTGTTTGTGCTTTGTGTTATCTATGTATCTAGTTTATAAAAATTGTTATTGTATCTGTATTTATTGTATTAGTTATACTTCAAAAAATTTAAGCATTCATCACCCTTCACTGAATACCATCATACTTAAACCAATAGGTTCAAAATAATAGGCATAGCCATTCATTTACTAGAAGGAAAAGAAGAATGGCTACATCATTAAAGATCATAGATAACTGAAATCTGTTAGCTCTAGTATTTAATATGAGCATCATGAGAAAATGACCAGTTTAGGTAATGTTTATTTGTGCATGCTTGCAAAACTGGTTTCTGTGCTATTGATAAAGCTTCAGTTATTGTTTTGCTAATAATTTTTGTGTTTGTGTTTTCAGATCTTGATGAAAACAATAAAGCAGACATAATTCATCCCTAGAAAGATTATATCCTAGCATTTGAAATGCTTTTTACTTAGAATAGTAGTTAAAATGGAAAAAACAAAAATAAATGATGAAGGAAAACCAGACCCAGAGAATTCTTTGGACTTTTCTGAACACTTTAATCAACTTGAATTGTTGGAAACACATGGACACCTTATTCCCACTGGTACCCAAAGTCTCTGGGTAGGCAATTCTGATGAAGATGAAGAGCAAGATGAAAAAAATGAAGAGTGGTATCAATTACAAGAAAAAAAAATGGAGAAAGATCCAAGCAAATTGCTGCTTTGGGCTGCTGAAAAAAATCGGGTAAAAAAAAAAAAAGGAAAAAAAGGGGAACCATAAAATAGTAAGAAAAACTTTGGGTTTAGAACCTAAAGACCTGCCCGGGTGCACCCCTCTATTTGATCTTTGAGCAAATTCCATTTCTGAACCTCTAGTTTCTTATATGTAAAAATGGCCACCATAATATCTGTCTCTGTTGTACAGGATGGTGAGAATCAAATTAAACAATGTACACAAAAGCACATATTAAATTACAAACTGTCATGTTAGGTATTATTTGGGGGTTTAAGAATAATTAACTATAAGGATAACAAGCAATTATCTATATTTTTAAAGCATTTATAAGTTATTAGGATTATCCTATGGGTAAACATTGTTTAAAATAGGTAAAATGGAAATTAACATTTCTTAAATACCAACTATACCAGTTAGCTTACTACATTGTTTTATTTAATCCTCACGTGTCCATACAATAAGGGTTAATATTAATTTTCCCAGGATTATCCTAGTAGAATTAACACCAAAAAACTATTCTTTCTACTTGGCCACTTCCTCTTCACTTTATTATGTTCTCCCATGTCTGTGTTGGTAAACTAATAACTATAAGAATTTAGCATTGATTAATAGCTTTTTAGCTCTAGAACACCCAGCAGCCCTCTAGAGGTTCATAAACTAAACTGAAAATCACTGCCTGGTGGTAGGTTTCTGAGGTCATATTCAGAAGGAATTGAGCCTTTAAGTCCTTGGATTTCCTTTCACCGTTTTATTCTTCTCTTAAAGGAAATTTCATTTTTATAAGTTTTATACACTGTTTATTCGAATGATGTTATTATAAGAAAATTAATGTTATATTTTCTTTGCAGATGAAATATAGAATATTAAATATAATTATAGCCTATATTATTCATTTAGGGCTAAAGCTTTTGTGCAGTAAGTCTTAATTAGACCAGGACTAAATGTATGGTTTAATATTCAGAGAATCGGATTCTTAGAAGCAATTGAGTATAGTTAACACTAAATTGTTCATTAGTAAACCAGTTGCCCTCTTGCACCAAAAAAGAAATCTTAAATTATTTTCATTTTAAAATTCATACCTTAACAGTTTTTTATTTAACTTAATTAAATCTAAAACTGCTGAACAATTTCATTTTCTTTATTTATTGTTTTGCTTCGAGTTGGGTTTTTTAAAGAGCTCTTTTTTTTTTTTTCCTTTTCAGCTTACTACAGTGCAGAGACTACTTTCTGAGAAAGCCACTCAAGTAAACACTAGAGATGAGGATGAGTATACCCCTCTTCATCGAGCAGCCTACAGTGGACATTTAGATATTGTCCGTGAACTGGTTGCGCAAGGGGCAGATGTGCATGCAGTAACTGTGGATGGCTGGACACCTCTGCATAGTGCTTGTAAGTGGAACAATACCAGAGTGGCTTCTTTCTTACTTCAGCACGATGCAGATGTCAATGCTCAAACAAAAGGCCTTCTGACTCCCTTGCATCTTGCTGCTGGAAACAGAGACAGCAAAGAGACCCTAGAACTCCTCCTAATGAACCGTTATATCAAACCAGATTTGAAGAACAACTTAGAAGAAACTGCATTTGATATTGCCAGGAGGACAAGTATCTATCACTACCTCTTTGAAATTGTGGAAGGCTGTACAAATTCTTCACCTCAGTCTTAATAGTTCTAGTAATTTTCTTAAGTTTGTGAGTACCAGTGCCTCCTTTGTGTGTGACGTAAAATATTCCCATTATACAAAGTTGACATCAAAAGTCTTACTACAAAAATTCAGTGCTACTCAGTATAATGTTCTTCCTAGTGAATCGCCTGATCTTGATGTCAAAATATATTTGAGAGTTGTTTAGATATATCTTTAATGATTTCTGTGGAGTTGTGATTTTTATGAGGAATAATTTTAACTTACCTTTACTTAAAAACTTGACACGGGTAGAACAGAAACTAAAGATATTTTTGGTGCTGATCCAAGAGAAATGTATTTTTAAATACCCCATATCCTGGATCTTTGTTGAGTATTTAATATATTAACATGTATTTTTATAAAGTTAGGTGACTCCAAATTTAATTTAAAAGTCTTAAATATATTGGTGCAGCTCAGCTGTCTACATTATCATAATCAATTGCTTTCACTGTAAACCAGAAAAAGTAACATACTAGTGACTTTAAAAAATACAATTAAAAAAAGCCTAGATTTTTGCTTTATATAACAGAAAATTTTGAAAAGTAGTTAGCTGGGCATTTAGTCCATGAATTTTACATACTTCCTCCCCTGCCACAGTTCACAAAACCCTATGCACAGTCCTACCTCACCCTGGTTAACCTACATAATCCTTATTATGGTGAGTCAGTATGACCTTTTAGAGATGCACACAACTATCCCTTGGTCCAGGAGATCATAATATATCTGCTACCCAACTGGTTTTACTTGCCTAATCCTGCTGGGTCAGCCTCTGCTCATAAAATCTCTTTGAGTTCACCAAAAATATCAATTTTCCAAGGTCCTCAGTTTATTCAAACCATTACAAGGGCAAAGTGACAAGGGTAAGGAATTCTAAGAGTAAGGGGATTATAATTATATTGGGACTAGAACCACCAAGTGGCTCAGGTTTAAAAAAAAAAAAAAAAAAACACATAGTGTGGATAGTGATAAACAAATATTCAAGAAAAATAAAGTGCAAGTTTGACAAGAAGAAAGGCGTGAGTTCTTTTTTAACATGTATATTTTGTTTGACTTATAGCATATTTATTCAAACAGCATATGCAACTCTCTCCATGTATTCAGCAGTTTCCCATTGAATACCTAGCTCCTTTGACTATTCCCAAAGGATCTTCTCTTAACCTCTCAACACTGGAACTAATGTTGTAGGGAAAGGAAACAACCAGCTATGCTTTTCTTCAGTATATTTTTTAAATGCCTACCAAATTTTGTCTCTTGAGCCAGCCCACATGACTCAACCACCCTAGACTATGCAATAATATTTATTAATCAAATATATGTGGCAGGATTTTGTTTAGAACAAAATTGGATCATCTCAGAAAGTTAAAGATAATAAATTAACAGAGTCATTGTAACAGATTCTCAAGAGTTATAAAACTTCAATTATTTTGTGATCTCTGGCCTTGGTTTTAAAGTATCAATACCTAATACAAATATTTGTGCAGAAAACAAGAGATTGCTTTCTTTCCATTTTTTCTGGTCCAAGTAAGTGACACCAAATGATAAGTACAGCTGACAGACAGTGATGGTAGAGTAGGACCCCATCTATACCAGTAGACTGCTGAATGAGGCTGCCTGATTATCTGAAATTCACAGAGCCTGCAGCTCCATTCTTAATTGGGAGTGGGTTATATCCATGATTTTATGTCAGTTTTCCCTTTATGGAGCCAAAGAAGACTATCTAATAAGGAACTGAGTTGTGACCACTCTTAAGGTTTTTTTAGTCCTCAACATTCACCAATGCTAAAAAGCAAACTTTGAACAAATAAAGCCTCTTTCCCAGAGGGAAGAATTTTTATTGTTTGCATCCTTTATACTTTACATTTACTACTATCCACAGAAAATATTTACTAATTGTGCTTTTGACTACCACAGAGCTGTACTTTTACAGTTTAAGCAGGCCAAAAGTTGAGTGGCAAACAAAATTTTCTCTAATTCTGAAGTTTATCCAAAGACTTTTTTTTTTTAAATCAGTTTTCTATAACTGAGGTCTTAAATTTGATTAACTTGTCTGCTTGAGGAAGAGACAACTCGTTATTGTTCAAGGTATACATAGGCCCATGGTGAAACTATTTGGCTTTGCCTATATAAATCTCAAGTACACTACAGAGAGCCTTGTGGCCCACAGCCTACCACAGTGATGGGATTTACAATCTTTCTATAGGAATGTGAGGACATTCATTTATTCCTATTTTTTGGCATCTTTGTAGCATCCACTACTCACTAGAAGCTCATGATCAAGAGAAACCCAGAAGCTTGAATCTCATACCAAAATGAAATCTCTGGATCAGCTCTCTATTTTTTTTTTATTCTTTTTAGTTATACATGGCAGTAGAATGTATTTTGGCATATCATACATACATGGAGTATAACTTACCATTCTTGTGGTTGTACATGATGTGGAGTTTACACTTGTCATATATTCATATATGAACATAGGAAAGTTATGTCCAGTTCATTCTACTGTCTTGCCTGTTCTCATCCCAGCCCCATCTTCATTCCCCTTTGTCTAAATCCAATGAACTTCTGTCCCCTGTCCCATTATTGTGTGTTAGCATCCACATAACAGAACATTCAGCCTTTGTTTTTTGGGGATTGGTTTTTTTAGCATAATATTATCCAGTTCCATCCATCTACCAGCAAATGCCATAATCTCATTCTTCATTATGGCTGAATAATATTCCATTGTATATAACACATTTTTTAATCCATTCATCTATTGAAGGTAGGTACCTAAGTTATATCCATAGCTTCAGCTTTCTATTTTGGATCAACATATATGCTATCTTCATCCTATCCAAAATGACTAGGAATTTATGAAATCTGCCCATGAAATATGATTACTAAATCAAATTATGCCTTTATTAATATTAGCTTATCATAGGATCCTTCAAGTGTTCTTCAGGATAACTAAATTACCATTAAACCAGTGTAATAAAAAGTGCTTCCTCTAAATGGAACTTAAGGTCTATGTTTGGTAAGTTCAGAAAGACAGAGAAGAGTTGAATATAGCCTATTGGTGTTTTTTAATTCCTGGAAATTTCCCTTGGAAACCCCCAAATTTTACTTCTGGAGAACTAAGGAGAAATTAAATAGTACTATCACAAGGAAACATAATATGAGCTGTAGGTAATTTTAAGTTTTTCCTAGTAGCCACATTAAACCAAAGTGGGTGAAATTGATTTTTAAAATGTTTTAACCCAGTGCATCCAAAATATTAATTTCAACATTACAAGGGCAATGTAATATGTAAATATGTAATTTCAACATATTTAACAATTACTGAGATATGCTACTTTTTTTGTAGTTAAGTCTTCAAAGTACAGTGCATTTTATAGTATATCAGAATTCAGACTAGCCACATTTGATGGCAGCTACTATACTGAACAGCACAGGTAGATGCATGACACATGCCCTGGAGATATAGCAGGTTGGTTAAGAGAAGCATTAAACTGAGATAGTCACACTTATGTGCAACTTTGGGCAAATAATTTCAGTTTTTTCATGTGTAAAATTGGGATAATATCTGTTTTGTTGCCCGTTGCAGGAGACAAATGAGATAAATGTGGATATAATACCTATTAGGTGATAGGTACTCAAAAGTGGATTGAGTTCTTTCTTTCCCTAGTATTCCAAGCAGATATGCCCTTCTTCTTTTAAGTATTTGGATTCTTGAAGACCAATTAAGTAACTCTCTCTTTATATTCCTATAGTTGTCCCTAACAGTTTTCCAGTAAAATTTGCAGCACAGAGCTTCTTTCAAGAATCTAAGAAACTTCTCTCCTAGAAAAAATGCCCACCCCATTTTAAGTGGTCTTGACCAAGTATCAAAGTTCTCCAAAAGAAGAAAAAATTAAAGCAATAAACAAAATAAAGGAAAAGAATTTTGGTAAATAATTGCAAGGACAGGAGGGAAAGGAAATTCCAAGAGAGTATATTTCCAGAATGAATACAAACCTTGAATAGCTTATTGCTCATTCTATATGCATCTTCCCAATGCCTATTAAATGAGTTGCTACTTAAATTCATACCCATTTTCCCCTCTTTTCAAGGTGGGTTATTGTTAATACTAAACAAAAGGAATAAAAACACAAGAAATAATCAGTTTATTTTAACTGATTTTACTTTTATTTTGTCCATTGAAAACTCAGGTGCATCTAATAATCCTCCAATGACATGGCATATCCTCCAATGGATCTCACTGTAGCAAGATTTGTGAGCCAGAAAATTAGCTTAATCAAAGAAATAGTGTATACAATTGGAAAGCAAGCTGATAATTTGTTTTATTTTTCCATTCATATTACAATATGTTCAGCATTTTATCTCTACTAGATGTATAGTAATTGAAAATTAGGGAACCATTAGAGAATTAATTTGAGTTCAGAAAGATCATTGTCTCCTGAGCAGTCATTGGTGTTCCATTTTCATATACATCTACCTTAATCAGGCAATTTTTAGTCATCGAATAAAAAGTGAGGAAGTGAGCCTGCCATCACACAAGAAAGAGAAAAAATCATGTGCCTATCAAGTTTTTCCAAACCTCAGTTTAATATCTCAAGAAGAAAATATATACTGATTGCAGAGGGCAATCAGTAAAGACACGGGCTCTGCTATGAGGTCATAAGAAGACCTAAGATGAATCAAGTACTTCAGAGCATGTACCAGAAAAAAGGAGTAGGATTCAGATTTGCTTTCATGTGCTTTTGCATATTTCTTATTGAAATTGGAAGATATGTAAAACTTATGAAAAGAATCAAAAGCAAGAAAAATGTGTAAGTGTCCTTTCATCCTTTCTTTTGATTTTAGTCTGCACCCTTGGATATGAGTCCATCTAGAAAAGTAACAGTGTGCAAGGTTTCTCAACCTTCACATTGTTGACATTGGAGCCACATAATGTCATTGTGGTGGGCATCCAGTGTACTGTAGGATGTTTAGAAGTACTCCTGGACTGCACCCACTAGATGCCAACAGCACCTGCCAGGCCCTCACTCCCAGTTATGGCAACCAAAAATGTCTCCAGACATTGCCCAATGTCCCCTTCTTTATAGCATAAAAAATCTATAAGGCAGAAGATTTCATAATTTGAAAAGCTACATGGTTGTTTTTATTAACATGCAAGTAAATTTAATTAAAGCATATGTTTTCCTTACATTTTGTTAGGCATTTCAAATATTCAATCTATCTTTAAATCATGTAATCATTGATTCTACTTTAGTTCTGTTTCATTTTGTTTTTGTTTGCTTGACTGTACCAGGAATTGAACCCAGGGATGCTTAGTCATAGTCCTTTTTTATTTTGAGACAGGGTCTCACTAAGTTGTTTAGGGCTTACTAAATTGCTGAGGCTGTCCTTGAACTTGTGATCCTCCTGCCTCAGCCTTTTGAGTTGCTGGGATCACAGGCGTGCACCATCATGCCTGACTAGGTTTTTAGTATTTTATTAATAGAATCATTGAACATATTCAAAAATTGGGCTAAAACACACAATTAGAAAAAGAGAGCTCACTAATACTGAAAGTTGGTTAGAAGAAAAGCTTAATCCCTATACTCAGTTTTGGCCTTTAGGAAATTTACCCTTTATCTCAGATGAATTTACGATTTTAAAAAAATCTAATTTCTGTGTCTCAATTGAGATAATAGCAACATTCTGATTTTTAATAGGTAGCACCATTACAAATGTGAATTTTTATTGTATTGCTGAATGAAGTTGACACAAGACTTTGCTTCTAGAAAAATAAGAATAAGAGAGATCAACTACTTCTGTCATGGAGGAAGGCCATGGTGAGAAAGCTAGGAGGTTCAAATGTAAATAAGTAGAGAAACAGAGAAAATTTCTTTTTTAGAAATTAATCTCTTAATGTTATTACAGACCTAGAGTCTTTGAGTTTGTTACTTAAATGTAAAAATCATGTGGTATAATTTATTTTGTCAATCACTTTTGTTTTATAAGGGAATTCTAAGATGAAATATATAAAAATCATTATTACAAAAAATCTATATCTGTGTATCAACCTCCCCCAAACATCTTTTAGCATGAGTGAAATAGACTCGTCTTCTTTATGAAAATTCTTAGGTATATAAGACATGGTACACCAACCCACTGTGCTAGTCTATAGGAGCTAACAGCTGAATGCCGACTATGAGCCGACTGTGCTGTAGGTGCTTCACATACACCACAATAGCCTCACAATAGCCATATGCAGTAGATATCATTGTAAAAATGAGGAAGTTGGGCTGGCAGAAATTAAGTGAATGGCCCATTGTCATACAGTTGTGCATGATGAAAGTAAGTGCTCTTCACCACACACTAGTATTTAATATTCACTGTATTTGTAAAGTTGATTGGAGATTAAATTATTCTGCCTGTTTAGTGTATTTTCTTCAAAGTGAGTTCCCACAAAGCTCAAGTTCCCACAACAGCTCTTCACCTATAGTGTTCTTAAATATTAATAACTGTGTATAACTAGTCTATCAATAATAACAACCAAAAATTTTTTATTTTCTTTAATATTATTTTATGTGATATATTTATGGTGGGAAAGTTGAATTTGCTTTTGAAAGTTTAGTCAATATTTTAAAATTTGATTAT